GGGTGTAGACGACTGTGGCGTGCATACGTCACCGCTACTAGAACTGAGGCAGAATCAGTCACAAGCGATTGCAGTGGTAATTGGTAGTGAGTAGATAAGAGGATGAGCGTAGAGTATCGTGAGGTACTGCCATGGTCACGTTGCATTCTGCAAGAGTCATTCTAGCAAGTGGCGATTGTAATTCAAGATGTCAGGAGGAGGCCTTAATCTGGAGGCGCAGGTCGTCATTGATGTGTGAGATTGTGCTGTGAGTATGCATGTGGTGTGTTGGCTTTTCTGTTTGTTTTCCATTTCAGCTCTGTCCATGTGACCCAGGTTCTCGCAATGGCATCCAAGTCAACGTGTATTTGTCGTGAAGGAAAAAAGGGATGGATCCGTATTTTGCCGGGGAGTGTCAATGGAGTTGAAGATTGAACGATCAATTCTTGGTTGTTTGCTCAAACCAACTTCCCCAATTTTCGCGGAGGCATCAATACGACAGTCATCTTCTCATCGGTCGCTGTTCAGAAAGAAGTCAGCAGTAAACCATCAGAAGTAATATTGTGATTTATTATTGTAATATTTGTTCACAGACCCTAGTAAAATCATTATTTTTATATGTTGGTGTAACAATAAAGAATTCTCGAGTCAACAATCGGTCTTTTGGTTTTTTCGTCCGTTATTACTAAGCGTTTCTGAAAAACTGCAAGGAACAGCGTGGGCCCGAGCGTAGCAAGAGCTGGGCATTAACGGTTTATGAGATGTGGCTGACACCCACACTCCTCACGGTCAATAGTATTAGCACTCACGATGTGCAAAATCCCACCATGGCACACACGAATATCCAATTTCACGAGTTTCTTAAAAGCAACTTCCCTATTACAATCCAAAATATCAATATGGTTGAAGATTGAACGATCAATTCATTGTTGTTTGCTCAAACCAACTTCCATAATTTTCGCGGAGGCATCAATACGACAGTCATCGTCTCATCGGTCGCTGTTCCTAAAGAAGTCTGGAGACAGCCGTGAGAAATGTTATTGTGGTTGATTATTGTGTTGTTTGTTCATAGGCTTATTTGCAAATGTTAGTTTTAATGTTGGCCATTTTTTGGTGTTACAATAAAGAATTCTTGAGTCGCTAATTGGAGTTTCGCTTTCTGCGTCCATTATTACTAAGCGTTTTTGAGAAGCTTCAAGGAACAGCGTGAGTCCCAGCGTAGCAAGAGTCGGGCATTGACGGTTTACGAGACGTGGGTGAGAAATAGCAACCAACAAATTAACTAAAAACAACAGCTTTTGTCGGGTGAAGAAGTTCACCTGCATATTTTCGAAAACTTCTGCATAGCACTATTTCATTTATAGCCGAGAAACAACTAAAACAATGAAACCACGTATGAACGCAACTTATGAAACAATTGTAATGAAATGAATGCACTGACCTGGTGGTAAAAGCTTTCGAAACAGATAAATTAACTAATTTTAACAGTAAGTGAAACAAAATGATGTGAAACACAACCTTTGTGAATAGTGTGCATCAAGATAAGTTGCAAATAACTGCAGGGTAAACGTAAAAACTAATGTGTAAACGAACGGCTTTGGAACTGCAATCCAACCTGGCCGATTGACATGGACGAAAATGACCTTCGGGCGCCTCACTTTTCCAATGACCTTGAGCATGTGGGATAATTCCATTTCTTTCTTCTTAGCTTGGTTTACATGGAACGACCAACACTGATCCTGGTAACTGAAACTTGACTAACTAGTGATATACCTGACACAAAGCAAATAATTGATGACTATAATATTCACAGGAATGAAAGAGTGGACAAAAGAGGAGGCGGATGTGTAATATATGCTTCTAAATCCACTGATTCCAATACTTTTACAAACCTAGCTATCGACAAACTCCCAGAATCTAAGTGGATAAGCTTCCACACGAATGAAAATAAAATTCTCGTGGGATGTATGTACATAGCCTCTAATAGCCATAAAACGACTGATACGGTTATCGGAGAAATACCAGAGTATGTACCTACTCTGAAATTTGACCGCAAACTAGTTTGTGACGATTGCAACCTCCCCGGAGTGAACTGGGAAACCTGCACTAGACTGAGAATCCACGAGTAGCTCCTAGAAGCAATGGATATAGGAGGATGGAAGCAGAGAGTACGCCTCCCAACACCACATAAAAATATTCTCGACCTAGTCCTCTTCCACAAAATAGAGCCGATCTCGAAAGAGGTGGGGGATAAACTCGACAACAGTGATCACAACACGCTGTACTGCAGTCTACCTCTTCATCTAGCGACTAGACATACACCTAAAATTTACCAGGCTTACTATCATTATTGGACTATAGAAATGCTGACTGGGAATTCCAACCAGCGCTCATGAGAAGCTCTGGCTGGGGTGAATAGCAATAATAACTTAGAAGTAATACTTAATGCCTTCTTCAGGACAATCAGTTCTGTATGAGACACAATCTCTCCCCTAATATCTGCCCTAAAGACACCAACTCTATCCGATTAAGACTAAGGATACTGGAAAGGAAATTTCATTTATTCAAGAAATTTAGTGGATTACACTGGATACACGAAACTTGGAAAATCTTGAGGAGAGACATGAAATAATGGCACGACAGAAGGAAAATAAAGCCTTAGGCGGCAGCTCCAGAACTCAGGAACTCTCCAAGATCTTGCGAAAACGACCAAAATGGGTAAGGACAACGACGTCAGCCTCTTGGCACACACAGGTGTAGTTTATGATGATCCCCAGATCATCGGTGGATTTCCCACCCAGTGGTTCTTCAATGACATCAAAGCGAGCCCATTCCCAATTCTCCACATAAACTGCGAAAATAACTACAAGTTAGATGACATCAACTTTAATACGCAAAATGTAGCATCAGCGTAAAGACATTAAAAGCTAACGGTAGTTGTGGGATAGGTGACATACCACCCACCATATACAGAAACGGTGGTACGGATATAATAGTATTATTGCTTAGAATATATACTATCTAACTAGTGACTGGGACCTACCCTGAGATGCAGAAATACACGTACATATTACCCAAGCGTAAAGGAGGGGCAAACTAGTGCATGCAATTATGGGCCTATCAATATAACACCTGTCATATCAAGGATCATGGAAAAAGTAACCAAAGACCAAATGTCAGATCACTTTCTAAAACGCTAATTCATCTACCAGTCACAACATGGATACCTCAAGGAAAGACTTCTTCAACGAAGCCATCTATAGAAGAGATCGGAAAGAGTTAGTAATTTTGAAAAAAGGAAAGCCATCGACAGAGTTCCACATAGTCTGCAAGTCAGCAGGCTATGGCCACTAGGGATATACAAACGCCTTCACAACTGCATGAAATCGTTTCTCTGTGATAGAAACCAGACAACAAAAGTTGGCTCGATGGCCTCTAGTCCTAGAGTAATCAGCAGCAGTATCATCCAGGAGATTGCATTGGGCCCCATTCTTTTCCTTATACACATAAATATTATATGTGAATGCTTTGGTATAGGCAAACTAATATTGTATGCAGATGACTTAAAGGTGACCTACACATACACGAATACAGATATTGGTAGAACTATGAACTCTATACGTGAAGAATTATTAAAAAGGATAGATTTTATGACACGTGGCGACTCGAGTTTAATATCGAGTTGTGCGACTGGCTTTGTAACGTTTGTTCCAGCCTAAGACGTCACCCGGTTATTCAAGTGTGTACTAGACCAAGGGCTGAAATATTAACATAGTCTATCATCTTTAGGGTGTGTCTCGGAACAAGTGTCAAAAGCACGGGCTTGGTGACTTTTGACTCAGGAACTTCTACAGAAGTGAATCCAGAATACTACTGCACAGGGTTTGAGTGTGTCCACTCCTAGATCACTGCTTATTCAAATGTAGTTTAATACCCATAGAAGACAAAGTAAAGGTAGGAGTACAGAAGTGCTTCACGCGAAAAGTATTCGGAACCGGAAACGGCACAAACTACTCCATATCTTGCTACCGCCTGTAAATTGTGATTGAATTATATAGTTCGATTTCTGTAACAATTTTATGATGCCTGTAAACTGGCGTCCCTCGTGTGCTGTGCTATGAGAATAAATTTATTTATTTATATGAAATCCTAGGACCCAAAACACCATGGTTAAGACAAATGAGACTAAACCCTTTGCTTTCTTGTAAGCTTCTAAAACACATAGTGTAAGCCATCGTCCGTATGATATCTATCTGCTATAGTGAGTGAAAGCTGTTAATGTGCAGCATACTGTATGGTCGGGACGAGCTCAGAGCAGTGCAATACTACAACTACACTAACTTCACTAATTTCACTTACTTTTAGACACTCATATCACTAAATGCGAGCGGTTAAATTTTCAGGACTACGTGACGAAATTGTCATAAGGATGTCTTGTTTCCTAGACTTAGTGCTGTCCAAGTACATAGATGATCTTTGTGCTTCATATGGACTAGCTGGTCTTTAGAAGGAGAATAAGCGCTTTCCCCTTTCAGGGTAATTTATCCATTCCGTGTAAAGTTTGGTTCCACAAGTGATTGAGATTCAGCTCATGTGGATAAATAATCATCCATTTAGTTTTAGTAACCTGAAAGTTCATGCTTCTGAGGAGTCCGAGTCCAGGATGTGACATTTTCCCGTGGTCCTTAAATGATTCATATTCGTGATGAAATCATATGATCATTGTTGCTGGTATTAGATGTCGGCCACATTCCTCCATTAATTATAAAATCATCCGTCTTAATGAAGGTGCTTGTTAGACTTCAGGTATTTTAACAGCTCACTGCGACTTCTTTTTGATGCCCTAGCACTCCATTCACAGGGAACCTCTAGTCTTTGTTGAATGAGATGCTTCAGAATTTTAATAGAAACTTGTGTTGGTGTGGAATTCATGGAGAACAGTAAAAGGTGCAAAGACATTACTGATAAAATTGATGTTCATTCACTATTTAATCAAGTGGTGCAAATAAACATTAAGATTAAAATGGATTTCAGTATCATTTGATAAAACAAATCTAAATTAATTGTTTAAAGTTTGAAATCATTTGCAATCCAAATCAGTGACTTGTATATACACGACCTAGATTCCATTTCTTAAGCTGACCTAATTTTAAATGAGCGACTCGCAGTAAGAAAGGCGGGTCCTTCGAGTGCGTACTCGGGGCGCGCTTTCAGAGCATTATCTGTTAAGCGCTAAGGGTTGTCGGAATGCACGTTCTAAACATATATTTCTTCAGAGGAACAACAATACTGTCTGTTCTTTGGTTTAGAATCTCACATTGGTAAGTGTTTTCCTGCTTAAAGATTTATTTGTTAATTATTTGCTGAAATGTCCTGATGTATTGTTGGTTCAGAGATTTTACATGCTCACCTGAGGTGTAAGCTCATTTTCGGAGAATTTTTCCTCTTGAACGTATATAAAGTGGGTGAGGACGTAGGTAGTCTTCGAAATTGGCTCCTGGGAGAATACGAAGAAAATTAAGTAAATATTTTTCTGAGAAAAGAGCAAAGTTGTGTAGCAAATTGGGAGAGAAATACGAGGTGTTTTAATTACTGCTTTTCAACAACTTTTCTGCATACATCCGATTCAGCTAAAACCACACACTTTCCATACATATAATCTATATATAGGTCATTCCTGGAGTAGTCGATTAACTTTAGAAGAGAAATGCAAATGTGCGTCGGTGGCACAGTGGTTAGGACTCTCGCCGACCATGCTTATGGTCCCGGGTTCGGACCCACGCCGACGCACACCTGATATCTATGGTCAGCCTGCGAAATTCGGGCCACCGATATTCATGCTGAAAATTCCATACTTGTACCAAAAATACAGTGTGGAATCAAGCTGTAATCAAAAATAAAAAAAATTAAATGGTTCGTGTAAGATTACATTTTTTTTGCATTATCATCGTATCGCCGTAATTAATTATAAGCTGACTAGAAGATAAGAAAAAAGGAGAATGAATGCCCGGCGGAATTAAACTGCTTACCTTTTTATTTGCCACGACAAGAGGTTTTCTTTTCAACCAGCTTTGTTAATATTACAGGATTCCACTAAATCTTTCTACTCTTCCCTATCACTCCGCTCTTATATTTCTATAGGACTGCCAAGACAGTGTAGCTAATAACGTTAGGATTAATGCTCGTTTTAAAGGTGCAGTTCCAAGCATTCATTTGACCTACATTTCTGTTGTACCTGCAATCTAAGTGGTTCACTTTTAGCCACATCCCTGATGTGTACCGTTCACCTGCATTAGTTTTATACGAAATTAACCCACGTGAGAATGAAGTGAATTACTTGCTTTTTCATTTATTTTGCCCTCCGAGTGGAACAAAAGACCATGGGTTACAGTTTTAGTGTTGTTTTAAAGGGGAGGGGTTGATAGCCTTATGCCCAACTTTTCTTCTTTATCACGTTTAGTGTCGGTTGGCAAACTGAACGACCCTGAAGTCAAACCCTTACTTCCTCAGTTCTGCATTACCATGGAATCATCTATGCACTTGTTATTATTAGCGTTGTTTCATCATTTGCGATCAGACTTGCACATGGTCCGAGGTTCGATCCCCTGCCGACGCACACCTGATATCTATGGTCGGCCTGCGAAATTTGGGCTACCGATATCCATGCTCAAAATTCCATACCTGTACCAAAAATACTGTGGAATCAAGCTGTAATAAAAAAATATATATGCAAGGCGAAAAATTTAAAGAAATTCAACTTGCTTGATTGCTAATGTATGTAAATAATATTTGTATGATCAACAAAGAAATATAACCAGACAAACTGGTGGCAGTCCCATTCTCATATTCAGGTCTTATTTTCAGCCTTTCTCTGCACTTCATTCAAATAGTTCACTGTTATAATTATTGCGGATAAATATTTTAAAGTGCATCGTTTTCGAATGTAATTAACATGTGGTTATTGCCCCAGAAATATATCTATCCTAATTCATTTTTGTAAGTAAACTGTGATTTTGAGTATCCACTAATTTCGCTAACATTTCGCATACATTAGCATGTAAAATGACGCCATATTTTGAGTCGCCAAATGTACGTTTAATTGTGGTAGATACTTTTGTAGACCTGATGAATCCGGTTTTGATAAATTTTAATGTCGATGAGTAATACTGAGATGGGTCTCCATCATGTTTGTCAAAAATATATGTCTCAAAATGCGTGTTTAGTTATCCTGATGTTTAATGACCAATAAAGTGTAAATTATAAATTATTACTCAGTTTACTTTAAGTTTCATTTACAATGAGCTGATAAGTGTAGATTTCTCGATTTTGAGATTCTCAGTGACAGAGGAACCTAAAGAATGAAACACATATAGATTTTAATGTTCTGACGTCTCTGTATACAGGTACGTATTTATTGTGCACTTTGGTTACCTTACATCAACCTAGTTGTTCGAACTCAATTTCCCATAACATACTTTTCGTGTGCCAGGCTTAGGATTGAACTTATCACGTGAGTTTTGGTGATACTTCTTAGTTGTCCTGACCGAAGTAGATGAAGCTTAACTCCAACCCTTGATCCATCTGATGAAACCAAGTGCCTAAGCCAATGGGCCACACCATTAGCTCATTAATTCTCATTTGTCACCTGTCATTTTTATTTACGAAATTTCAGCCCCACTAAGATAGGTTATATGGAGAAAATCTTGACTGTCTGTGCATATCGTAATATGCAATCATGCGATGGGGTGGGATATAACATAGTATTATTGAAGTAAGTTTAGTTGATTGGAGACAAAGGCTGATCAACGAACCAAGTCAACATCTGATATATTTAGTGCAGCGGCCGTAGTATCATTGCTGGAAATGCGGAAGATTCTCTCACCGATCTCATCGGAGAATCAGTGAACTACAGGAACTGAGTTCTCGAGGTTACATCGTTACCTTATAGCCATTGTAGGCAACAAACTGTATTGCAGACGTCATTCAGTAAATAGTGACTTATCGACATATGTTTTACCCATGTGACATTTTTAATTGGGCATCACGGACTCTGAATAAAATATTTCAAAATTCACAGCACTGAAGCAGATGCATGTAAACAGTAGACTTCTCAAATTGTACTAACCAATATTTTCATTTGCTAAATTCCCTTCTGCTTTGAATTATTCTACTACTGGTGTTGTTACTTTTTCCTTCTTACCGTTGTTAACATTATGTACGACGTACAGTCTGATATAACAGCTTTCCACACACACAATTATAACGATTCCGTTCCTTATGCCTGTGTAGTTGTTTGAATTCTTAAGTCATTTGAACGAAGGTTTGATAAGTATGCTAAAAAGTTACTTGTTGATACTAGTTTGACTTTTTAATTAATGAACATCTCTTTTTGAAATTGATTATTCAAGTCGTTGAGAATACTCATCAGGACATTAGAGCGACAAAAACAAGAAGCTCAGCAAAGATATCCTTTCGGCAATTTCATCTTCAAAAGCGGTTAATAATTTTCGATTTGATATGAAAGGTTGATGGTGTGGTAAAGGGTGAATATAGGCCACAAAGGGTGCAGGAACAAAAATAATATCAGATTAAAACGGTAGTTGCGTAACATGTAAAATAATTTCTAAAGAAGACAGGTGTGAACAGGATGTGCTTAAAAAGATTGAAATAAGCGATTTTAATAAATTAAGGTGAAAAAGTGAAAAGAATGAAAAAACGCCAACTAAGGAACCATACAGAACTGAATCCATTGTAAATGTAAAAGTTGAACTAGTTTCTTTTGATGCATATGGCGAGAGCTGCTGTAGTACAGCGACATCGAAAACATGCTGCTTTTGGTAGATATCTGCTGACTTTGTCATTTACGCTAAAAATTATTGTTTCAGTTTGTTCTTATGCACATTTTGTTCACACCTGTCTTCGTTAAAAACTAATTTACGTGTTGCGCAACTATTTCTCTGATCCTGTTTCTCTACCTCTTACGATTTATATTCATTTTTTATCACATCTTTAAACTTTCACATCAATGTGTCTGTCTGTTTTTGACATAGAACTTTGCACCGATGTGCACCAGTTCAAGTCGTCACACTCCCTCCTTGTAGCACACAAAGCAAGAGAAGATAGTAGAAGAAATGCATAATAGAGACAGTAAACAGAGGTGTGTGACAAGGGAATAGTAATAACGAAGAACAATGTAGTTTCATTGGAAATCATAAGTTACAAGGAGTGGATGCATCTGCACCAACCAGCCATTGAGAACGATTTTGAGTCATATCATCAATTGTTTCCGTCCCGAAGACCCTAACCAGTCGGGCAGTCTACACCTTCCTACGTGACTGGCTTAAAGTAGCTGTTGTGGATTTCATTGACTGATGAATCCATGTTTTGGTCTGACCGCTGTTATCCCCTCTGATCTACCTTCTTTAACATGTTGAGTTAAATAACAATTGTAACTGTACAAACTTATTTGTAAAAGTGAGATTGTCCAGCTTTTGCGGATGGAAATGGTTTTTCTCCATTTTATTAATTTTCAAGTGTTGGTTTGTAGGGATTTGATTGGTTTCACGATTTCATCATGAGCTGACATTTTTCATTTGGCTGAGCTGTTAGTCAGTCAGTGTCGGATGAGGTTCAGTTTGGGAATATTCTTCATGTACTGTGGCACTCTAACCAAAATTGACTAACAAACACTCCTGTATTTCACATCGTTTATAGGTTTCACTTTAAGGGTGTTTTACTGCATGTTTGCTCATAAGGCATCTCTGTGTACGCAGAGTTTTGGATGATTGTGTTTGCTTACTTTAGTTTAGCGCGAATATTAATGACACTTTATATGTGTGGGATTTCACATCCCTACAAACGAAGCACGTTAAGCGAGGAAGGGCCGGTGCTGCATGTGAGGGAATCTGTAAATTATTGTAGCAGTTTAAAGGGAAGATAACTGGTAGACGATAAAGGTGGGTGGTGATTAGGAGAGCGTACAGTCTTGGAAGTGTGTAGGTGGTTATTACTTCCCAGTCGCCCACACCGTGGAAGTTGTTCTTTCTTTGGGGTGCCTGAAGTAGCAAAAGTGCTGTGTGACCGCAGAAACCAGGGGGCAACCACTTGAGGTCGGTCACACATGACCTGTTTGAACTGGTTTTAAGAGTTGTCTTCATATTAGTAACTTACCGCCAGCTATGGACCACCGTACGGTAACTCAGCATGTACATACTTTGGCGTTGACCGCTTCTAACCTTCACCCATCTGTAGAGTGGAGAGGCAGCATAGTTGGCATGGTGGTCATCTGCTGTTACATCCCTTTTCCCCTACAGTACGACTTTGCCCACAAACTCCCAGCATAGTTTAAACACCCTACACTATGATGGTAACTACTTTTAGTCTAATGGCATGGTAGGACCTGCAACCAGTGTAGCTTATTGGGTCATTGTGATTTGCATGCCCGACCACCACATCAAGGTAGCAGCTATCGGTCAGAAAGATTACTAAGGGTTCTTATTGTTAGGAATACATTGTTATAAGAATTTTAATTACCTTCCTTGATATATTGATATATGTTGAAGCTATTCACTCATCTCAGAGCCATGTTTCACCTAACTCACTGATCATTTGTATACTTGTCTATTGGTATTTTGTGAACTGAACGATTCTCAAATCTTTTAGTTATATTCATTCAATTATTGTTACTCCTATGGCACTCATGCTTGTATACACCTATTCTCTTTTACGTTGTGTTTCACAGCCTGGCAACTGAGAATGGTTTGTTTTAGTGAGAATTTCTGCTGTAATCTGACTGTATTTCCAGTGAAATATCCTGAAATGGCAATGAGTGAAGTGACTGGTGACTGTGCTGTTGAGATAATGGTGTTATGTAGTCAAATAATGACTATATTTCTGCATAATATTTTTAATTTTTGATTATGGCTTGACTCCACACCGTATTATTGGTACGGGTATGGAATTTTCAGCTCGTGTTATCGGTAGCCCAAATTTAGCAGGCCGACCGATTGATAAAGGGGGCGTGCGTCGGTTGGCCGGCTAGATTCCTAACCGCTGCACCACCGACGCTTTCGAATTTTTGCTGAGTTCCTTCAAAATTTTTGTTAATTTATTTATTGTTGTTAGTGTTACGTATATTGAAATTACTTGCACAAGATACATAGTTGTCCAATCAAACTGTCTGTTAATTTAAGAATACAACGTGCGCACTGCAGCTGAGTATAATTGCAATGTTATCACTCATCAAATAAATTTACAGTATGATAAAACCATCTGTTACTCATTGAAGTGGAATAAGACTTCTGGTTTAAGAGATACTAGAAAAACAGTTGTAGTGTAGATCTAGTCGGTGAAACTACACCAGCTATTATTATTCTTTGGGTTGTGAGTGAAACGCAAAGCTTCAAAACCACATCTCTGCTTTGTCCTATTCTATGCGTTCTTTAGTTGTCTCCACGATTCCCCACAGACTGTCATCTCACACGATCTCCTTCATGTCATTGTCGAATAATCTCGTTGACTTGGAATATGCAGACGATATAGTCCTTCTAGGCGAAGACGCTGACGAAATGCAGAGTCTTCTAAACACCTTGAGCCGCAATCTACGAATGTTTGGCATGCGATTCGCTCCCGCCGTGAAATGCAAGATGATGATACAGGACTGGACTACATCGACGCCTAGTTTAAAAATAGGAAGTGAAGTGGTAGAGCACGTTGACCGCTTCACTTATTTGGGAAGTAACATCAGCCAGTGCCAACGGGTTGCTCTCTGACGAAATCTCAGCACGAATACAAGGGGCTCGTTTCGTATTTAGCAGTTTACGCCGACTCTGGCGTAGACGAGATGTTCGACTATCGACCAAAGGGCGGGTGTACTGCTCATCAGTCCGCTCCGTCCTCCTTTATGGTTGTGAGACCTGGCCACTGAGAGTGAAAGACATGAAAAGACTAGCTGTGTTTGATCATAGGTGCCTGCGTTCTATTTCCCGTGTAAAGTGGCATAATAAGGTGAGCAACATTGAGGTTAGGCGTCGAGTTCTAGGTAAACAGGGGAAATCAATCGACGAAGTCGTGAAGCTACAAAGACTGAGATGGTTAGGACATGTGTTACGTATGCCAAGCCATCGCCTCCCTCGACGAGCTATGTTAGCGGATATAGGGTCAGGCTGGAAAAAAGCTAGTGGCGGTCAAACAAAAACTTGGCATCAGTCAATGAAATCCACAACAGTTGGTCTAAGCCACGTAGGAAAGTGTAGACTTCCAGGCTGGGGTCCTCGGGACGGTAAAAATCTATGGTTGGAAACAATTGGTGACATGGCTCAAAACCGTTCTCAGTGGCGCAGATGCATCCACTCCCTGTGACTTATGATCTTCAATGAAACTGTTTTGTATTTCTTTATTACTCCTTTGTCTCACACCTCTGCTCACTGTTTCTATTATGCTTTTCTTGTACTTTCTTCTCTTGCTTCGCGTGCTACACGGAATGTGGAGACTTGAACTTCCGCACATTTGTGCAAAGTTCTATGTCGAAAACAGACAGACATTGTCGAACTCCCAGCTCGTGGTTTCTCATTTGCGTTCCACTGGTTCGCAATGCCTTTCGACGGTCTCGTCAGTGTGTTTCCAACCCATCCTTCATGGTTGGTTAGTTCACAGAGTTCCTTGTTGGAAATGCTTTTCGTGATCCTCCAGCCAATTTTCTGAACCATACAGAAAAACTGACTGACTTAACATTGATGCTAAAGACCCGGATTCTGTTGTGTGTGCTGAGTGGGGAATATTTCCAAGTTGATTTCACAGTGACGAAGGGTTGCTTTGCCTTTCTCAGATCTAGTCTTGACAGCCTCATCCGTGTTGCCTTTAGTTGAAATGATGATGCTGAGATAAGTGGAGGAAAGTAACCTCTTTGAAATTTATTCCGTTTATAATGATTAGTGCTTGTTATTGTGGTACATAAATGATAATTTCTGATGCAGACTGTTTTTGATACCACTGATAATACTTTTTACTTATATAAATTACAGTGTATTATTTTTCCCCCACTTCTTTCTTAGGCGATGTGTGACAAACCTTTCTTCTATAACCCCGACATTGATACAAAAATCGCCGGTTTATACGATTTACAGCATACCATAGGCCGAGGACATTATGCAGTTGTAAAACAAGCACGTCATGTATTCACTGGTGAAAAAGTCGCAGTAAAAGTAATAGATAAAACAAAGTTGGACAATATTTCAAGAGATCATTTATTCCAAGAAGTAGTATGCATGAAATTAGTTCAGCACCCGAATGTAGTCAGATTATATGAAGTTATCGATACTCCAACTAAATTGTACCTTGTTCTCGAATTGGGAGATGGTGGTGATCTATACGATTACATAACAAGTCATGGTGATGGTCTCAGTGAAAAAGTTGCAAAGCGCTATTTTCGTCAGATAGTCACTGCTATTGCCTATTGTCATAAATTAAGAGTGGTGCATAGAGATCTTAAACCAGAAAATGTAGTTTTCTTTGAGAAGTTGGGTTTAGTGAAACTCACGGATTTTGGATTCAGCAATAGATTCATTCCTGGTACAAATTTAGATACAGCTTGCGGTTCTTTGGCTTATTCTGCTCCAGAAATTCTACTTGGTGATTCATATGATGCCCCTAAAGTGGATATTTGGTCACTGGGTGTAATATTGTATATGCTTGTCAGCGGCAGTTTACCATTTCAAGAAACAAATGATAGTGAAACGTTGACAAAAATTATGGATTGTGATTATTCTATGCCTGCACATTTATCACCAGACTGCAAACGACTTATCTCACGTTTATTGATCCGGGATCCACAGAAACGTGCTCATCTTGATGATATTCTACAAGATGATTGGTTGAAGATAGACGGTGAGGATTTACCTATTGAATTGTTTTCTGTTCCTTTAATATCACGTGAACATTTATCATTTGAAGATCATATGGAGATTTTATCGAAAATGGCTGAAGGTAAACTCGCGACTGTTGAAGAAATACAATCCACGTTAGATCGTAATGAATATAATCATATAGCTGCTACGTATTATTTACTTGCAGAACGTAAACTAAAACGTAACTATATTGAAGAGTATAAACGATTAGTGAATCAATCCCAATTGATAGAGAAAAGAAAACAACAACAAGAACAACAGAAATTGTCCATTAATTGTCCATATACACTTTCAGAAAATTCTAAACAACCTCAGATTGTTGAGAATACTACATCTGCTAAATCTTTACTAAACAATGTGATAAGTTCAGGTGGTGCTGGTACATCATCGCGAATTTTAGGTCCCTTGGGCTCATCAAATGTCGAGGATCGAGTAAGACGGTTTAGTATGATTTTAGAAGATGAAGAAGAAGAGGAAGAAAGCAAAGGATCACCAGTAGCCTCCTCATTGTTCGGTAAATGTATTGGTGGTGTAAATGAGTCAACTACTAATGGGATGGGAGATGCTGATGGTTTACCGCATTGTCTTGCCGACACTTCAGAAGAGGCAATGTTAGAAGAAGAAGAGGAAGAACTTGCTACTGTAGCCGGATTGGTGTGTGTACGTTCCGAGCTGTTGACTGAGCAGATGGCAAACAATTTGTTGAGTGTATCCGAGTCTGAATATCCACCGAACGTCAATGGCTCCGTGGCACCGACTCGTTCGTGTTCAAGAACAAGCGGCTCTGGTGCTGAAGTATCTGATGGTGCAGAGTCTGATGCCTCTCTAAGCCCCTGGAGTGCAGGTGGTTTCATCAATTCAATAAATCGTGTGACATCTACAACGCGCTCGTTACCTCCCGTTGATATCAGAAGAAAACATCCATATCGGAGAGCATTTATATCTCATCGTCCGCTAACCACTGTAAAAAGCAGTCCACAACTTTTAAAACATATTGCTGAAGAAGACTGGAATAGTTGTAATTCTTTTGAAATCAATGAACCTCTCCATCTGGATAAACGTAGAAAGAAAATAGATGAATGTCGTGCACAAAATCCATCTGCATATTCAACATCTGAAGATGGAACAGGAACTAGGTCTTTACGTAGTTCATGTAATCTATATCGTAGCATCAGATATGTGGATGACCAGTTGATTGGATTAAAACCTGCAAATTTGTCTAATGCTGCAACTCAACAAACGTATTCTGGAGCTCATAGTCCAACATGGACACGTAGATTTTTTAATACTCCTGCATCATCATCCCGTCCAGCAAGTATTGGCAGTTGGAATGCCGTTCTGAACATGAGTTTAGCAAGTGAACAGCGTCGTCCGTCATTTAGCTCTTCTCCTGCTGAAAATCAAACAGGTGGTGTTAGTCGAAGGAAGGTTCTTTACTTAAATCATGGTCAAAGCTCTCATTTGCTTAACAGAAGCATTACTGCTGACCGAAGATGCAGCGGACCTCCTGGTTTATTGCTAGCTGTTTCGGGGATGTATCATCTTGGTTCTACGGCTCCATTACCCAGCCGCTGTGGATCAGACACCTCATTTCTTGATCACAATGATTCCAATCCCTTACCTGCTACTGTTGAAAACTCTTTTCCTGTTGAAGATTCTTCTAGTTTTCTAGACGGAGTGGACTTACCAAATGGAATTCGATCTCCTGATACCATTAAAGAGGCAAGTGATCTTACAAGAATTAATTTTCGTTACCCTACATCCTCAGTTTCAGGAGTGAATAAAAGAGGTTCGACTATATCCCCCCATCGTGCTCTTTGTAATTCACGTAGAGCTGCCAGTTGGTGTAGCTCTGCACCGATATTGTGTGAAACATCCGAACATCCGTATTTAACATACGCAGCATCTAACGGCAGTGGAATTACAACACTATCATCTTGCGAAAACAATTGCCAGCTGAATGGTTCATCTGCGATTCGAGAGCATTGCACGCCGATACGTGAAGAGGATGATGAAGCAGCCCGGTGTGGAGAATCTCCCATTTCCAAGGTGTCTGATTTTTTTAGTAGCCTAAGTAATCGAAGGCGATCTGAGTCTTCAAGTATGCAAACAAATTCAGCTATTTTTACAGCTTCAAATATAGCACGTGTTGCATTTGCCACATTGGCCGAATCAGAGTCAACCTCAACTATCAGTCAATTACCAAACATACCTTCCCAGCAAAATCATTCTGGTGACAATGTACCAAATGGAAATAATTCACAATGTACCACATCAAACTTTTCACTCAGCTCTCTAGCAACAAGTTTACGCGATTCACGGTATATGATTGATATAATACGCGGGACGTTTGAATTACAATGTCAGTATAATCGTAGATTTACTAATTCAATTGTTGGAGTTAACAGTGGTGAGTATAATTCTGATCGAACTAGTACTTCAACATCAGTACGCAGTCTGACAGCTATATCTGAAAGTTTTCCTATTAACAGTCATTTAAAAGATGATTCACAAAAACATCCTGGATATAATCGAAACTCGTCACTTCTTTCGCCTGGATCTATATCCACATGTTCGTCTATAAACCAAAGTGTTTATTCTAATTCGCATACAATCACCTATCCTATGAATAATGCTTCATGTAGTCGTCCAGATTCTTTTGTTACAAATGCAATTCAGTCAACTCGAATGAGTTTACCGAGTAATTTATTAACTGGTGGTGTTGGTGGTGGTTCAATGGTCAACACAGAAGTCATCCCATCAGTTAGTCCGGTTTTAGAAAGTAACACAGAGAATTTTTCGTCTTCTTTTTCACTTGAACAAAATTCACCAGTAAGAATTGGAAATTTTGTCAATCATAATCATGGAAATGGATCGTGTAAATCGACTAGTCATCATCACTCAAGTAATCTACTCAAACATCCTTCAAATTTATCTTCAAGTGTAGAGTCGACTAAAGATATCCAGGCTAGTTGTCTTTCAGATAATTATTGCGGTATAGTGGCGAATAATAGTAATAATAATATTTGTCAACAGTTCAATAGTAGTAGTAGTAGTAACAACAATAATGGTAACAGTAATAATAACAATAATAATAGTAATAATAATGTGAATAATACTGAAGCGATAAGTGAGCCGTCTAACCATTGGATGCAAAAAACGAATGGACCAAATCATAAACAGTTAACCCCTCTGATTTTTGGGAAGCATAAACCTCGTTTGGCGTGTTGCTCAGTTTCATGATCGTCTTCCATCCATCCATTCATTCATCTATCACTCATCTTGGAGGTACTCCCTTTTTGCTTTCCATTCACACTGTCCTATTATAATCTGTGTATTAAAGTGTCATTATTTCTTGTTCGTCTACGCCTCCCACGCCTCAAAGCAGCCGCCGCTGCCGCAGCCAGATCACTTTTTCATTGTTTCTTTTTCGCGTTGTTGTTTATGTTGTTGTTGTTGTCGTAGGTCTGTAGCAGCAGTGGATTTTTTGTTTGTTTTTGCTACCTGCTTTATTTCATTCTACTTTCAGGCATCCATATACCTACATATATAAGCATGTTATTATATGCATAATTACGATTCGCCTTTACGTTTATAAATTAATAAACTAACCTCGGTTGTATACCTCGATAAAATGCTAATATATTACTATTATCATTTATTCCATTCATTCATTCATTCATTCAACCGTCAGTTTATCGCCAAGATTATGTATGTATCACTCACGTACAAAACCAATGGAAAAATTTGTTTTATCAACGTTTATGTATCTTAATGTCGTTCAGAATCAGTTTCCTTTGATGTAAGCAAAAACAAAATAATAAAAACTATCGTCTGTACCTAATGTGATCTCATTCAATCCCCCCCCCCCAAAAAAAAACAGCACAACTCTGGTACCATATCCTGTTTCTATCCCATTTTCATAGTGCCACTTATACAATCGTCGATGTAGGAATACCTTCTGTGTATACATACGTCCACAAAAACATGCCTATACAGTCAGTCATGGACATCCTTACGCTTCTTCTTTTGATTGTTGTGATTTTCGGATCCACTGTCTATATCTTCTGTTTATATTTCACCTCTGCTGTAAATACTCATATTTTTTTAAATCTTCCCCTTCTCCCCCTTCTTTCTCTCTCTCTCTTTGTGTGTGTGTGTGTGTGTGTCACTTCATCGTTTCTTATTCCTCATCATCACATTAATTTGTGTAAATATATTATTTACCACTTCATTTTATGTGTTGAAATTATAAATCCCGGTTAATTTCAATTTTAATTTTGGCTTTCCAAAAATTTATACATATACGTATGAGCTTAGGGACGTCCGACTGACCACTGTTCCATTGAACATGTTTGTTACTAAATTTAAAAGATGCAGAAAGTATATATTTTCATCATTTACTTTATGTAATATATATATATAAATACAGTTAGTAAGGTCATCTGATATGTTATCATTATTTTGTTTGTTCTCTTATGTACCTTCAAGTGTTTGTTTTTTTAGAGGTAGAGATGGTAAATTCGAGATCGATTTCAAGTTCGCTGACAAACTGACTTCAGTTAGAGAACTACCATTGAAAACCCGTAAGAAGTACTGAGTAGGTACTAGCCAGGTGTTTCGTCTGTTCGTTTGAAAACTCTTCTGCTAATTCGCTGAATATATAGCATGGCCATCAGTGGAAATTAAGCTCGTTTTCATTAGTAATTGTGTCCATAGGATGAAATTGTCGAGTGGATGTAATCGTGACCAACGGGGTCAAAGAAATCGGCTGTGAGAACAGACAAACCCCGCGAATGGCACACTGCGTATCAGTTGGGCGGTATATAGTGAATTGTTAAAAGTTAGAATTAATAAACCATTGGATCACAGTGGCTGTAGGGCTGACGAGCTCACCTTGGAACATGAAGGTCATGAGATTGATCCCTAATAATATAATAATGATGATATTAATAGCTTTATTCCAAAACAGTACTTGCGATACAGAATGGAATTCTCAGCATTTCACTACACTATTGCATCCAGTTAGTACATTATCAGTAAATAAAATTCTACATAGATTAAGGGTAATCTCAGTTCATTATGACAACAACATATCGGCATATCAGTAGCAAAGCCCAAATTGAACAGTGTTCGAAAAGTAGATCCTAGCATATTTACTGACGTAAGCTTTTCTTGTACTTTCTTCTCTTGCTTCGCGTGCTACACGGAATGTGGCGACTTGAACTTCCTCACATTTGTGCAAAGTTCTATGTCGAAACAGACAGACAGAGACTGACGTAAGCGGTAACAAAAGGTCGATATATACAGAGTGTGAAAGAACGGAAAAGAATATTTTAAGTAGAGTTTATAAGGAAGAGAGAAACTAAACAGCACATAACAACAAAAAAAGAGAAAAAAAAAGAAAGAAAACGTTGTACCTATAAATGATATGAGTTGGAAAGACGAGATCCAGTTGTTCTACTGACTATTTAATAAGTCATAATTTTCACGCCTAATGCTTTCTTTATCGCACAGAACACGAGCCAAGTAGGGTATGGTTGAGTTTTTGTACTTGCTAGTGCGAGCATAAATTTTGCTATATAGGCTTCTGGTTTTGCCTGATGAGATACAAAGGGGGGGGAGAGTTGTGAATGAAGAGGGTGGTGTGAGTTAGATAAAATGGATTTCGCCCATTTTTCACATGAGTCCATGTGCCTGTCCACCAGAATATTAACGAGCTGGCTAAGTGGCAAACTGCTTACCCTGCTGACAACCTTTAACATCCTACGTAATAAGGTATAGTCTTTCTTCAATAGCCCAGGAAAGACTAAGGGGGAACAATAGAGAATAATAGGCAGAATACGGAAGTTAACAAATTGTAGGAGTAAGGGTTGGGTTACACCAGAATGCCTTAACTTCTTGATGTAGAAGGTAAGACGGAATATTTTCTTGGAAATCGTCAAGATATGAGACGACCAGGAAAGATCAGAAGATAGAGTGACGCCTAGGTATTTAATTTCCGACTTGGTTTCAATTTCAGTGCCATCTATGTTGCACATCTCGTGAGTGCTAACCAGTTTATCTATTAGATCAGATTTGTGCCTAAAGGTGAAATTAACTGTCTGACATTTAGAGGGATTTAAAGTGAGACCGTTTTCCTTGGACTGTTGGCTGATTTCTGATAAAAAGCCATTTAGTTTGGAGCAGTCACTTTGACACTTGACAGGCAGGCAGGCAAAGATACAGTCAGCGTATTTGACAAAATAATGTCATTTGAAGATGGTAGGTCATGTAGAAAGAATGAAAAGAGAAGTGGGGAGAGTACAGCACCTTGGGGGACACCAGCTTCAGTGAGCACAGCAGAGGAGGATTTCCCTTTGTATACGGTCTACTGCATTCTGTTTGAGAAGTAGGTATGTAACCAGTTAGTGACCCAGAACTCAGTTTGTGTCACAGAGAGCTTATTTAGCAAGAGACATCCAGGTGCAGAGTCGAAAGCAGAAGTGAAGTCGAGAAACGTGCAGCGGACGTATTTGGCGCCTTTCTCTAGTGATGAGACGATACTGTTGTGTAAGACGGCTACAGCGTCTAAAGTACTCCCTGGTGAGATCTTGATAGTTCAGAAAAAAAGCATGGGCGAAACAGATATCGAGTACTCTTTACTGGTTTTCAATGGGGTGGTTCTGTAAAATGAAGTCAATTCGTGACAAAATTTGTAATGTTTATACCGTGTAGGTCGTACTCAGTTTAGGGTCAGCGCAGTCAAACTATATCCACTGAGAAATTAGCATAGGATTCGTTTACTAAGGTGAAAATGTTCCCAGTGGAACATAGGGCTTCAAACTAGAACTCTGAAGTTTCGATAGCAATGGTGTTTATTTCTATATGCTAAGGTTTACTAGCCTCATGCCCAAACTTCTCTCTTTATCAGTCTGATTACTGGCTTAGCGAGGTAAAGGAGGAGTGCGTCTGCCGGGGATCGAACCCTGAACCACCTGCGTGGTTGGCGAGCATTTAGCTGCAGTCCCATCGACACTTCGTGTTACTTCTTAGCTTAACTAATTATTGATAAGTTTCTTGAGTGTACGATAGTTATTTTAGTATACCAACTAATCATAACTTACATTGTAGTATATGGTTCAGTAAACAGTATTCTATCGTTGTTTAAGGTACCACAAATGAAGTACCATAGGATGGTATCAAAACTTTGGGGTTGTAGGGATTTCAATAGGTTCTTTGTTTGTGAGCTCCAGATCTTCTGGAATCTTGTTGTCAGTACAACGTATTCCTGTCTTGCCACTCCCACACACACCGTTTACCGCCTCAAAATCCAGTCCACGACAATTAAGAATATCATCGGTGATAATAGACATTCGTCCTTGTCTTACTCCTGTGTTCACTCTGAACGCCTCGCTGATTTTTCTGTTGTGGATAACCTGACACGTGACATTGTCATATAGCTGTGGTTGAATCATGTTGATAAATATTTAGGAACTCCACTCCATAGTGTTGAAGTAGTTCCCGAATTACTTCTCGGTCAATGCTCTCTGTCGTAGGCCTTTCGAAATGCGATGAGACTGAGATGGAGGTTTGACCACCATTCTATTCTAGCTTGTGTTCGATGATGATGCGTGTAGTAGCGATTCGATCCTCACACGATTTGTCTATCGTGAATGCGGCTTGTTCCGTCAGGCTGGCGGAGTTGTGCATGCAGGGTGTCTTTTATCTTTCTGTGTAGGATGACGCGACATAGTATTTTGTTTGGCGTTGAGAAGAGTGTGATTTGGCGTCAGTTCCTGCAGTGTGAGGTGTAAGCGGCCCTTCTTTGGTAGTTCCACATGGTAGCCAGCCTTGCTTCTAATCAGTAGGCAGTTTTCCTTCCTAACAATTTGGAGTAGTGGCGTGAGCACATCTGTGACGGTTTTCAGTGCTTCGTGTTGGGCGAATTCCATCTGATCCTGTTGTCTTCCCGACTAGCTTCCAGTAACTTGATTGCATTCCAGATTTCTTCTTTCGTTTGAGTATCGATGTCCACTGGTAGGGAATTCTGTGCGCGCTGTTGGTGTTGTTGTTGTTAGTATTTCTGGGTGATTCGCAGGTGATGGTCGATTCAAGCGTCCTTTAAAGTGATCAGCCCACAGTTTTATTTGTTTCTTCTCCTTAATAATTCGGTATTGATTTCTTTGCGGCTAGAAACATGGTACCAAAAAATCCAGAGAGCACTGATTATGTGTCTCGTGTTTAATTTGGACTTTTCATCAGTACTCTTCGGCAGTGGATTGAGTGTAAAACCGTTAAGCTTCAATGTAATGAGCGTCCTAATTTAGGTCAGATGATTCTGTTTCCAGATAATGATGTTTTTTTTATCACTTAACAATCTACGATATAGCTTAAGCACGTTGGTTCATGACTAGATATGGATCAATAGTGATATGGGTAGAATGTGATCTTGAGTGTTTTCACTTGGCCTAAAAATGATTTTTTTTAGTGATCACACTAACAATCTGACCACCGTCAAACATCAAATTTTTTCAATATGACTGAATATCTGACATATGCTAAAGAGTCAAGGATATAAAGATATTTGTTAATAAAGATTAATTCACCACGCCATAGAAAAAGAATTTACCAGTAAAACACAAATTGGTAAATTTCGTCGGTTCCATACATTCTTAAGTCTAATATTTTGTTTATAGATCGGAGAGATATACAAGTGATTCTCCTTCACATGATCGTATGTTTAAATACATTTGTCTGTAGAAGTTATTAAGTGAACTGAATTAAGTAGTGTGAATCTATTACGTGATACTTGCTTATAGTGAAGAACAATAAGGATAATCGTTTTGGTTTTTTCTCCAGCGAATTCCAGAGTATTACGTCCAACGCATTCATTTTCCTTCAGCTTTTGTTATTGAAAAAAAAACCCAGCTCAGTTGTTGGGCACTTTATAGAAACTAACAACTCAGGAGATGGCCTTTTTCAGTGGAACCTTGGATTCGTTAGGCCTTTTGGAAACCTCAAACAATTTCATGATTTATTATTGTGTGCATCGGTGGCACAGTGGTTAGGACTCTCGCCGACCATGCACATGGTCTGGGGCTCGAGCCCGCACCGACGCACATCTGATATCTATGGTCGGCCTGCAAAATTCGGGCTACCGATATCCATGCTGAAAATTCCATACTTGTACCAAAAATACAGTGTGGAATCAAGCTGTAAATCAAAAATAAAAAAAATTATTGTTCCCTTGGGTTCCTAGTGGAACATAGGGCTTCAACTTCACGTCTCCCTCCACTTGCTTCTGTCTTCCTTCTGCTGTACTTTTCACCAGCATCCATGGTAGTCCATACTCTTTCAACTCCTCTTCACACGATCTCCTCCATATCACCCTCTCACTAACGTCCCACTCGAGCAGTGGCCTAAAGCGCATGCGATGTCACCCAGCGGCCTCCCGCTCAGCGAGAGAGTGTCCAATC